AAAACAAAACAGGAAGATCAGGTCATCAAGGCCAGCAAAATTTTAAAGAATTTTGATTCCGAACACCATTGCCTTGACACCACACTTATGTAGAAAGTCTCTCAATCGGAACAGAAAATAGAGCTCTGTGGGAATTCACCTGCTCCATGAGCCCTCTGTTCTGAGGCTGGGCAGGCATGCCAACTTTTCTACCACCTTGAGGAGCCAGGAAAGCATCTGGTTTAGGAGCTGTAACGGGGCAACGTCATCCCCCGATGCCGGCGAGCTGTGGTATACACTTCCTGGAAGCTCGTGAAGGCTGGCCCATCCGGCACCCAGAGAGGTCAAGGCCCAGGCCTGGGTTTCATTTGCTCAGAAAAGTAAACAAGTAAATAAATGGGTCCAACCATTTACCCCAGAAAACATCTGAATAGCATATTCAGCACTTTTGTCCAGCAGTAATAGCAGAGGCCTGTGTATCTACTTAGCAAGCAGTCTTGCAACCAAACATTTGGAGTTGAAGCTCACTCTCCCTCCTGCCCAGCTAGCCACAACACTTGCTTCTTCTGGGTGGGTTTCAGGAGTTGGCCTTCTCCTTCCCTCCCAGTCAGCTGGTCTCCAGGACAAACCCATTCGACCTCTGAATCCCTCTTTCCGACCCTCCCTCCAGTGTCTGGTCCAGTGTGAGTCGCTCTTCATTTAAGCTGTGAGAGCGGCTGTGTGTGGGAGGCTCCCTGCCCCCGGGATCTCCACCCCCTGTCTGAGCCCCCCAAGGACACCAGAATGAGGGCCCCACAGACAAATCTCAGAAGTGATTTACTCACCAAGCTCTTGCATGGTCAGCTAATGCTGGGTCATAATAATAACAACAATGATAGTGATAATCGGGAGCCACATAGCTTGCTCCCAACCACGGCTCCATCTCTGGCTGGTCAACGTCACCTCTGCCCATGTCAAGCCAACTTCAGCCAGAGGCTCTCAGTCTGCAGCTTGTGCCCATAAACATTACCTTCTCCCCAAATAACACTTCCAGTCTCTATAGCCCCAGATCCTCTCTCTTTCAAGGCTCTGCTCAACTGGAGTGCCTCCTCTGTGGGCTGTCTGGCTGTGAACTCCTGGGCAGGACGCACCACCATCTCAATGTCACTGCTGCCAAGACCGCTGGCTGGCACCGAGCAAGTGGGTATGGGCTGTGTGTGGAGCGGGAAGGTTATCGGCATGCCTCACCTGGTCTGTTTTCTGAAGGAATTATCAATTTGGGGAAAGACTTCATGTTGCTTTTTGGTTGCACCTAACACAAGGCTGCATTTGATCAACTTTCCACACCCACGGGCTGGGTCCACTCTCCCACAGACCCTCTGAGTTGCCGGGGGAAACACTGAGATGCTCATCATTAACATGAATTTAGGGTTTTTACTAAGAACAGAAAAGGCCCTAGCCATCATCACATTGGAGCTAGTGCATACATTGAAGGGGAGAATCGGGGTGTCGGCACACCCACCCCCCAACACAATAGCAAATCTAAGAGAGTATTAAACTGTGCATCAATGAGTTTCAAGCTCACCCCTTGACTCAACCATCCAACTCATGAAGTTGTTACCCCTGAGGGCACTAAAGTGTGCCCAGGGCTCAAGAGAGGGCAGCTGAGGAAGCTAGACAAGGCAGCTGTTGGCAGAAGAAAGGAGGATAGTGTCAACAGCAGGCCGAGGAACCACTCTCATCTAGAGAACTTGAAGAAAGAGACATCGGAAGTCTGAGAAAGATTTTGCAGGTTTTGTTCAAGCCTCTCAGAACTGCATGGTATTTTCTGGGCTTCCACCAAACATAGCTCTGTGACAGCTTACAGATTCAACTGCCATGCTCAGATAAAAGCTAGCATACACCACATGCTCACTGATTTATTATAAGGCAATGAGTTACTGGTGGAGAATACCACCATGGCCTGAATTCTTAACTTTGGTGTTAAGAACTCCAAATAATTCATCCATAAATATTTAACACAGACCCAAAACCATCGGCACCATCATCCAGAGAGGTTGGGGGAACGATAAGGCAAATGGCTCAATCACGTACAGTATTGTTTAATAGATCCAGAGGGATGGAACCTAGACTTTCGGTGGTGAAATAACATAGTAGATGCAGATGTTGATTTGCAAGGCTGTACAGCTGAGATTACGTGTTATAGACCTGTTACTTCAATTAGAAAAATTTTCAAAACCAACCTCAGCTTCCCAGGGTTCATAGCGGTTCCTCCATTCCCCTGGGATTTTGCCCTTCTATCAAAGCCATTTGTTGTACCTACTATGATTGTCTCTGAAGAGTACATTGCTGTATAAATTCTACAAACGGACGCCACCCTCTCTGCAAACTATATCACCGCAGGAGCCACACACCATACATTTGGCAAACCAAACAGAGAACCTCAAATATCACCTTTTGTCACCATAAAAGCCTTTTTGAATTCACCAACTTGGGATAAAAGCACTTGGTACATTTTTCCCAACAATCAATTTTAAAATATTAATCATGATTTTAATGTATGGTGATATTTGAGGCTCTATTTCTTGGTATAGCGAAAGATACAAAAATTCTGGCCTATTTGAATACTTCTGGGGTCAAAGCATCAGCATTGAGTAAGTTTTCAATCTGATGTAATGAGGTGGGTGTGTGTGAATTGTGTACATTTGCATGGTGGTGGGCTCCCAGGAAGTCGGGCCGGCGATGCGCCTGGTGTGTAGAGCAGGAACACCACAGGGACTCTGCCGCTACACGGCCACTCTCATTCCCCACTCAGTTGAGCTTTCCAGTGGTCTTTTAAGGAGCGGCCTCAGCCCTGAGCCAGGTGAGGAAGTCAGGGACAGCAGGCCTGGAGACTCGAATTTCAAATGAAAGGCCAATGGGCAGGAAGTACACAGAGATCCTCTAGCTCCCCAAATTACTGCAAGAGCCACAGGTGATGTGTTTTAGTGACGTGCACACACACACACACAGTGACATATGTACCATACATGTGCACACAGCACATGCATACAGATACAGTATACACACTTACCACATGTTTCACACCCCAATACAAACACAGTGACACATGCACCATATATGTGCACACAACCCATGCATACAGTACACACAGTCACCACACACACTACACAATTCACACACAGTGGCATATAAACCATGCATGTGCATGCATCATATGCATACAGTACACACTCACCACACACACCACACATGATTTACACACAGTAATACATATACCACACACGTGCACACAACCCATGCATACAGTACACACAGTCATAACACACATCACACATGGTCAACACACCCAACACACACAGCAATCCATGTAACAT